TCGGAATCTTTGATTGATTTCACCGGATACTGAAATCGGTTGAGGCTAGGGTTTTGCAGGGCACCTTCGGTTCAGGAAAGAAAACCGAATTTTATGAAGGCGTTTTTGACTTCCTAATGCTACTATTGTTTTTAGAGTAAATTACATCCTTGGTCCCTGTGGTTTATATGTTTTAACACTATGGGTCCCTATTTTGAAATATCTATGGGTTACATTCTTGTGATTTGCATTTTGTAACGTATTGAGTCCCTAAATCTAACTTCATCCAAAAAGTTCTGTTAACTTTGTTAGTTTAGAGGGGTATTTTAGTCATTTAATATATTTTTTATTTTCAATTAATTTACCTTATTTATTTATTAAGTGGTCAGAATGATTAAGAGACTCTCATGATATAGTGTAAAATGAAATATAATTATTTGGTAATCATTTACAACGAAATTAGGGAGCTAAATGGTTAAAGGAGACCAACATACAAAATTATTCAGATGGTTTTAGAATCATTAAGAGACATGTTTTTTTTGCCAAACAAAATTCAGCTCTTAACGATTTAGAGACTGCTTCTTAATAGAACTATTAAGAGGTAAAAAAACAACCTCTCATCTAAATTGTTAGATTCCAAATGATATGATTAAAAATATGGCTATAACCATTTATCTTAAAAATACAAATATTTTCCCTTAATTTTTTAAATTAAAAATTAGTGAAATACAAAAAAGTTGGAATAAACAAATTAAACCAAAAAAAATATATAACTTTATCATCCATTTTTAGTTTGAGAGGGAAATAATCGATAGAAGATGAAAGGGTTAAAGGAGAGGGAATGGTTTTAAACACGATGCCATGAGGGGCATAATTTGTAATGAATTGTAAATCATGATGATCGTCAACGTAATAAAATAAAATTTAGGGACCTAATCCATAAAATTTACTAAACCACAATGACCAAATATGTAACGAATTGCAATCCATGATAACTTTTCAATTAGGGATGGTGATTTGACCCGACTCGATGGGAAACCCGGTTCACCCGACCTGGTGGGGAACCCGGTTCACCCGACCCGAACGGGGACGGAAATTCCCCGCTAAAACGGGTACCGGGACTGGAGATCCCCGTTAAAATCAAAACAAAGGATATTATTTACGGGGTTTACCGGATTTTGACCGGGGATTGCTAGAGATTTGACCGGGGACGGGATAATAATCCCCGTACCCGCTGGGGACCGGGGCCGGGGCATAGACGGACCTAGTTAAGTGCCATGGGTGGCACATGCCACCGTATCGTTTCTCCGTCGAAGGGTAAAAAAATTAGGTTTTGTAAACGGTGCAACCGTATTAATTTGTTGTGTGCCACCGTCATATGTATTTTAAAACTATAATGAAAACAAGTTTTATTTGGTAGAGTTGGTTTGCAAGGCTTTTATTCCACCCCACACTCAAGTCCGAATCATGTTAGTGTTATTTTCTTAGTCAAACGGTACCACCGTTTGAAAAAAAAAATTCGTATATTTATTTCTTATAGTCAAACGGTGTCACTGGTTTAAAAAAAATCCCTATTATTTTTTTTCTTATGGTCAAATAGTAACACCGTTTTAAAAAAATTATGGGTCCATCCCTGGGCCGGGGGAACATTACTATAAACCGGGGGCGGGTTGCCATGCCTACCTTCAATGGAACAAAATAAAGTTTAGGGACTTAATGCGTAACCTTTACTAAACCACAGGGACCAAATCTGCAGTGAACTGAAAACCCTAGACATTCCCCCCACATTCTCCTAGATGGCGCGTGTTCAATTCGACAGAGCGGGAAACATAAATCCTTCAAAAGCGTGGGATTTCGAGAGAGAGTGCAGGTGAAAAAATGGTGAGCAAGAAGAAGAGAAGAGACGGTAATGGATCAGAAAAGGAGAACGATGAAGGCAAAGTTGCAGAGTATGAGCAGTCTAGAGAACAAAGAATCAAGGAGAATCTTCAGAGGATGCATAAACTCGGCATCTTAGAGCTTTCTCGTAATCTCAAGCCTCCTCCTAAACCGAAAACCATTCGTTCTCACAAACCTGTGCCTCCGGTATCTGGCTCTCCGAGACGCTCTTCTAGGTCTTTTCCTTCTTCTCGTCTCTTTATAGAAATTTGCTTTTATTCTGCTTGTTCTTTGGGGAATAGGATGTTGGATCATGAAATTGAACACTCCGTCTGTGATTCTGTGAAATTTCAAGAGTTTTCGGACATTCTAGTTTTATGAAAATGATAATCATTACAAAAAAATATGTCACCTGTTCCGCGATTGGAGTTATTTTCTGCAAATAACGATCTAATTCAGTGTAAAATGATCCGATAACTTCAAGTCTACCATTGCATGTATCTTTGATCTCTGTCTGTATTTTCGTAGAAACTTGAGCCTTATGTAGACTGTAGTATACCATTAGTCGATGAATACCCTACTTCAAAGATAAAATGTTAACATGTATCTACATATGCTTAGGGAGATGTAAATCTTACTGGGTTTTCACTAACATAACTTTCTACTACTGTACTGGTCTAATGCATATGAAATTTTCTTCAGTTTATTTGTTGGGTTTCTGATGAAATCCAACATATCAAAACGTGAATCACATCTTTGCATAAAGGGGAACGGTGAAAAGAAACTTATTTCGACAGAACATGCATTCCAATATTTAAGAAAGGGGGAGCACCAACAAGAAACTTATTTCAACCCATTTCATTTGTTAATTTTTCTTTACCTATTACAACCAAACATTGGAAATGATTCATTAGTTTTTTTAATTGTTTTGATGGGCATTGTTTTTTTTAATTGGGTTGATATTATTTGTTTCTAAACATTTCTAACATTCATATAGGCTAAAGACCATGCCCACTGTTAGTTATTCAGAGAAGCGGGTTCCAAATTCCAAAGACAAACCTATCAAGGATGTCAAGATTGAAATAAAAAAGGGTTCACAACCTGAGGTTTACACTGAAGAGCATGAAAAGATGTTGGGTGATCACAAAGAAACCTGGACACTTTATGTGGATGGGTATGATGGTGAGGGGAATCGTATTTATGATACATATGAGGGAAAGAGCTGCCATCAATGCAGGTTTTGGATTCTTTATTTTCTTCTCTTTTGTTATTTAAATTTTGCCAAACTGCAATATGTTGATGTTTCTTGTTTCAATTCAGAATTCAATTCATGGGGACAAACAACCATGTGTATAGCAATTACCAATGGACAACCGAAACTTAAAAAGCAAGAAAGGAAAGAAAAAAGTTGTCCATTAAAATATGAAAGAAAGTTGGCTGCAGATGTCTTGTAAAATAGTTGAGCTTTTTGGTCAAAAATGACCCAAGTGTAGAACAAAGTATTTAACTGTGTCATGACTCATGAGTGTTATTAGCGCACTAGAGACTTAGCAAGTGTAAAAGTGCTTAAAGCTGTCACATTAGTATATTTGAGACTTCGAGTATAATGATAAAAGGGTATGGGGAACATAAAATACAATACTAGTTTGTTTTGTAAACTGTCTGAATGGTCATAGAATATCCATGAGAATGTAGTTTGTATTTCAAGTTCACAGTCTAGGCTTGATTCAGATTATTGCCTTGCTTTTTTCTCCTCTAATGTTTTTAGGGGGTTTCCACATTAAATTTTGGCATCAGGTTATTATTATGTTTTTTTTTGTTATTATTACTATTATGTTTGCAATTTATTTATTTGTTATAATTACGTGCTGGGATGTGTTTCTTCAAATGTCTACTCATTAACTTTTAATTGTGGTTAATTGAAGTTCAATTGATGGAACTCAGTAGAGCAAAATTGTAGATCAATTATTGGAGTGTATCAAGCTGTTCAATAAGGGAAAACACAACCCAGTTTTTTTCATTTCATATAATCTTAATTTCCAATGGTTGGTTGTGCCTTGATGTTTTAATGATATCAATCTATTCGGGTTTTTTTCGTATTAGTTGGTTTATATGTGAACAAGACTTTCAGGTTTACTCAACCATTATGCATCTTTGGATGTTGCAACATAATTACAACCTGTTACCACAAGCACTTTCAGTTCAGTAGTAGTTAGCGGGGTTTTCAACTGATATGCTCTCTGGCCCATGTTCATATAACTTTAGTCATGAACTTTAAAATCTTTGTTCTCTGTGATCCATCTTCTACTAATATGTAATTGTGGTTAAAGCTAAAAAAGATGCCAGAAAAGTTCTCTGATCCATTGTCATATTTGTAATGGTGATGGTGAGTTCATTACTTCATTTAGCTAAAATGGTGAATATATACTGAGCCACTAATTGATATTTGCAGGCAAAAAACTGCAGGATTGCGTACTACATGCTGCAAGTGTAACCAAGGGCAGTTCTGCGGTGATTGCTTGTTCACGAGGTTAAGTACAAGATTATATCTGTTTAGAAACAGAACATGATCCTTTCTGCCTATCTGCCTTGTTTCACATCAATTTCTCAACTATAATAATTCAGTTAGAAATACATAAATAAAAACATAGCTGCACTTTAAGTTTTCTTATAATTACATACTCAAACATAAAGATCCGTACTTATACTGTAATTATCAAATCAATTACATTTTTGTCGATTTTAATTAGATTACCTAACATTAATCACCCGTAACTGTTGAAATGTGAACATTCTTTCCACTAAAATTATCTATGCCAATTTCCTTTTCTCAAATTGCGTACACGTTAGTCAATTTGGTAAAATTTGGATGAAAATTATATAATATCCATATGATTTTGAGAGTACAAGTATGTGATTTATTATTTTTTGGTTTGAGCATGCAACTTAGGAAAGTGTGGAAGTACAGTGATGTCTTATACTATTTTCCTTACAAACATGTTTCACCTTGATCTTGCTGGTCTTTCAAGGTTTTCTGGTCCTTTTTGCAGATATGCAGAGAATATTTCAGAAGTAAATGCAGACCCGAATTGGGTTTGTCCTGTCTGTAGAGATATATGCAACTGCAGTCGCTGTCGCAGACTAAAAGGATGGGAACCCACCGGAAATGTTTACAGAAAGGTTAACCTCATCAACCTTTGTAGTGCTTTGTCCATATAATCGAAATAATGAAACCACATATCTGCTTTATCTTTTAACATAAATCTTCTTGGTTGTCAATCAACCTCTCATTCCAAAACTAGAGTTCAATTATCAAAATAAATCATTCCCTCCGTCCCATTTTGATGCATCATCTTATTTGGCTCATAGTTTTTTTTGGATAACCCTGGCATTTGGGCTAGCTTGCGATCACCTTGATTAATCTCACGGGGCCCTAAAGATAGTAGGTAATTAAATCCTAAGTGGTCCTGAGGGGATTCGAACCGGGTGCCTCATAGGAGCCTCAAGGCTTTAGGGGCCGTTTACCAAACACTTACCGGGTAATCGCTTACCAAGTCACATTTCCTCGTCGGATGAATATGGGAAGGACCAAGAATCTTTCCTGGTAAGAGAGAGACAAGGATCATGAGTCTTACCCGGTAAGTGAGGGCGGCGATTCTTACCATATCCTAAGTGGCCCTGAGGGGATTTGAACCGGGTACCTCATAGGAGCCTCAAGGCTTAGGGGCCGTTTACCAAATACTTACCCGGGTAATCGCTTACCAAGTCACATTTCCTCGTCGGATGAATATGGGAAGGACCAAGAATCTTACCCGGTAAGAGCGAGACAAGGTCACAAGGACCATGAGTCATGCCTGGTAAGTGAGGGCGGCGACTCTTACCATGGTAAGCGCTTACCGGGTAAATTGTTGCATGCGATTTACCCGGTTTGGTGGACTAAAATCTTACCGGTAAGTAAATAATAGTGTTTTTAATTTTACCGGTAAGCGCTTACTGGGTAAGTGTTTCGTAAACGGCCCCTTAGCCTTTATTTGTCCATAGTTCAATGAAGTGTTACGGTTACTTGTAGAACATTTAAAATAGTGTTTACTAATTATCATATTGAGGAATCTTGTAGACCAAAAATTGATGTTTAACAATATTTCATAATGATTAATAATGGTTAAAGAGGTAATCTTGGATCGAGTCTTTGACAAGAAAAGGAAATGTTGCATTTATTTTGGGATGAAGTGAGTAGAATTTGTAGGATTTTGCGTATATTTAGTTTAATACCTAGTTTTCTTGCACAATTCTCACAAGCCATTGGTCTTCATGAAAACAACCCCATTTTGTAGAGGTTAGATCTGTATACATTTCATTAGATCTTATCTCAAGGCGGGATATACTGTGCTTATTTGGTTTATCTGTTTTGTATCATTTGCAAGAAATATTTTCGGTATTCACTAAAAGGGAACTCAACCGTGATGTTTTTGAACAAAATAAGCAGCATGTAATATTTTTCTTATAAATTTTCAGATATTACGCCTCGGCTTCAAGTCAGTGGCTCATTATCTCATTCACACCCAAGGTCCTCATGGAAATCAAGAAAACATAGCTGATGAGACCCCAGGTTCTTCTAAAGAAGATGAGGTGTCTGATGGCAACTTAGTTTCTCAAATTGATAACAAAAACAACTCTAACATGGATGAAGATAGCAACCATGTTTTGACTGATAAAAACATCAATCATGATCGCCCAATTCGTGATCAGGTACTTAAGGGAGACGATGATGATGATCCAGATTATAAATCCGATTCTCTTGATGGTAATGATGACGATGAAGATGATTCAGGTGATGATGATAACAATGATGATGATGATTAGATTCAGACAGATGATTGTTCTTTTTGAAACAAGTCGTTTTGTGGGTATCGGAAGTGATCACTAGCAGTCCTCTGTCCCTATGATGGTGCTGAATTTACTCGGGTACCAAAACATGTTAGAACATTCAAGTGTTAATGAGGTTGGATGCACTAGTTTTTTGTTGATGCCATCTATATATAGAAAACAGAGATTGGAACTTTTAATGTGTTTGAGATGATCAGATGCAGATAGGTTGGCAGATAGTCTTTATGAGGTCCCATGTCTCTCTGTATATCATACTTTGGCTTAATGGTATCCGAGCCTTTGACTTCCTAGGAGGTCATGGGTTCAAACTTTATTAAAGATGAGGAAAGTGCGTCATTTATTTGTTGCATTTGTCTTGTATGAATATTATATGCTTGAAAAAAAGGATGTGTCTGATTTTTAACAAAACATGGGGATGAAAACCATAAACAATGTCTTTCATTTTGCCAAGGGAAAAAAGGTCAATAATTTTATTGATTTTGTATTTGTGTTCAAGGGTAAACGTTAGATATATGTCAGAATTAGATGATCATGAGAAAAAACCGATGAAAAAATGTCATTATAGATGTTAAATTAAAAAATAAAAGATCAATTTTTTGGTGTAATTTGTTTTGTTTTTATTTTTATTTTTATTATATTTGTCATTTTTTATTTAAAAAATAGGGAGAAAAGGGTTTTTTATTTAAAAATAAAGTTGTAAATGCCAATTTAATCACATTAATTGGATTATTTAATCTAATGGTTGATGCATGTGTTTTTTTAGTTTTTTAGAGTACGTACCATATTTGAAACCAAAACCAAAACTTAAATAGGATTGTAAATTTACCATGAAACTCGTAATATTATAGAAAACATGTTTTACTTCAAATTCATGTGTTTTCTAGTAATAACAGTGAGTCTGTTAGTAAGTCTAATAATTATTATAGGTTCAAAAGAAGCTATGAATATGTGTTATATACTTATTTATACTACCTTATAAACCAAATTTATCAAAAGTTTTAAAAACAAATTTTTATGCATAAAGTATTATATATTTATGAACAAAGTCTTAAAAACAACTCACAATGCATTATGTACTACTACATTTAGTCTTGAAATCTCTTAATCCACAATTAAAATAACATATAGTACAAGTTATCAATGCACATCATTACCTTTTCTTTTTATGTTTTCAATATACTTTCGACACATTTCACTCATGGCTTCAACCTCTCATACCTCTATGTCTTCTCCTCATCCCCCAATGTGAGATTCAAACTAATATTCACCATGAGTTATTAAAAGTTCTCTCATTCAATTGCTCTAGAACTCTCGCTCTTGATCTCATGATTATTTGTTCTTGGTGTAAATCGAACACATTTGTGGTGTCGTTTAAAAATGTTGGATTTTAAACTGTCATACAATTTTTTCCATCAATAGACTGTAATTAAAACCATAACTTTTATTTATTCAAATTGTATTAATATATAAAGACTAAATGTAACTTATATTATCGTTAAATCTTCTCTAATAAACCAGAGAAACTTCAAAATCGTTAAAATTCACAGCTTCTGCCGCATTGCGCGGATACACAGCTAATAATTTATTAACACAAGTCAAGTTTCACTTATTTAGCAGGATGTCAACATTGGTTCCTAAAATACATATTTTTTAAGCTATGCCCTATAGACCACTAAATGAGATATTTAAAATATGGTTATCAAATCATAAGGTGATGCTTGATTGGTTTGAGTTTAGGTTCCAAAGATCAAAAGTGTCTGGAGGTCCCGAGTTCAAATCCAAGAAAGAATAAAAACCTCCTTGTGACCATGGAGGTTCAAATGCCGTGACTCCAGGCTACCCGCAAAACAAGTGGTCGCCTTGAAATTAGTCAGCTCACATAGCGGGCTGAATATCTAGGTTAAAAAAATAAAATAAAATATGGTAATCTAAAATAAAAGTGGAATGAAAATATCAATTATCATCCATTTTGCTTTGTATATTATGAGGGCTTACTTTACAAAAAGTATAAATCGAAATATAGTTGCTACACCAACATTAGGTCCAAAAAAACAGCCAGATTGACGTAAAAATTAGGAATAGAGCAACAAAAACGACAATTGGACCAAAAAATCTAATTACATTATGATGTCACATTTGAACAGATCGAACAAGTTTAAATTGACATAATACGAAGCCTATTAATCCGAAAGCACCATGGAGATACATACCAAAAGTGATATCTACGAGGGATGTTAACCACTGAACCACAAGATGAAAAAGCATAAACAAGCAAGACACCGGTAAAACGTAAAAGGCAGATACTTCTCAACAAATATTCAACTAAGCCACTACCCGTAGTCGAGTATAGCTGACCGAATAAGCTGTAAGTCCCATTAAACTCGTTAAGCTGTTGGTCCTAAGCCATGTAAGACAATTTTGATTGGTTTTGTGAACCATTGTAGCAATCCTAAAGTATTAGCTTATCTCTTTCACCAGGCATGTATTATATTGTTTTGAATTTGGTAATTACATGATCATACAATCCAAAAATAGACCTTCATTGGCGATTTAGCTCCAAACTGTACTCAAGCATTTGAACATCAACATAATCAGAACAATATATAGAAACAGAAACTCTATAACAGAATCAGATTTTTGATGTACTTAGCTTCGTTATCAAAAATTGCTACCATCAGCAGTTCTCTATAATCTACCAATACAGTTAGCTTAATGATTTTACTCGAATCATATTCTAACATGCCAGCCAAACTCATGCGATAAAATTACAAAAAATCCAAATCACACCAATATATAATAATCGTAAACCATAACATGTAATTCGAAATCGAATTCCGCACACACCTCAAATTGATGCGACAAAAATTTATGACCTGAAATTTCTTTAAGCGACGGCTACAGGTTGTTGCTTCGCCGGTTCAATATTCGTCTTGGATTTCTGATCAGAAAAATCTTCCATGTTGTATATGACGGTGATGTAAAGAGAACAACTAGGGCATCGAGCGATCTCTTCACCCATCTTCAACTCGTCTTTTGTAATCTGAAACAGATCTCCACAGGGGCAGGGATACGTGAAGGACTTAAGCTCCTCGTTCCACTCCATGTCTTCGATCTCCACATCGTCGTACGACATCGTTAATTACCTCGGAATCTTTGATTGATTTCACCGGATACTGAAATCGGTTGAGGCTAGGGTTTTGCAGGGCACCTTTGATTCGGTTAAACCAAATAACAATATTTCGTTTTTTTTTATAAAAATAAACTAAACCCACCTGTTTTTTGTTTGATGATATAACGTGGTTTTGTGTAAAAAGGTAATGTATTTTAACTTGATTTCTATTTTTAATAATGTATTTTTAAAGTTTTTATTTTGGTATTTAAAATGTAAAGTTTTAAACATTTAAGTACTCGAGTAACAAGTTGAAACATTAACCGGTTATCATGTTGATAAGGCGAGTGATGTGGTATCCAACTCAATATTATTTGTTATTCAACCCAATTTCATCCTATCACTTGCCACATCAGTACAGTAACCGGTTACCTAGATACTTAAATGTTTAAAACTTTACATTTTATGTACCAAAATGAAAGTTTTGAAAGTAAGTTACCCAAAATAGGAATCACGTTAAAGTATGTTATTTTTTCATGCAATTTATCATTTGCTGAATATACGAGTCCGGATAAAAAATAGTGTCTCGTTTATTAGGGCTTGTTTGTTTTTTGAAAAAAACCCTCTTAATACCTCTTAAGTTTGAATAGGTCAGAGTTTTCAAACCGTTTGTTTTTTTAAATAATAATTGAAAAGCTTTTACCATCCTCTGAACAAAAAAACGATAACCTTATCGCTTAAATTCTCTTCATCGCTCCTTCCAGACTCTCCACTCGATCCTCGTCTCTAGATCCAGTCCTCCAAATCGATCTCGCAAGTCGTTCGATCTCCAAATCAATCACGACCCAAATTGATCCACACACTCTCGATCACCAAGGTACGTCCATCTCCTTCTTGAATTTTGTTTTGATCAAGGTTCGAGCCCTGTGGTTCGTCCCTGTTAGTTCGTCTAGATATAAATGACAACTTGTGAACATATATTGAGACGATGATTGAGAATACAATTTTCTGGGAGTGATTGAAAATCACCCAAATAGGACCTGTGGTTCGTTCCTGTGGTTCAGTCTTGATTCAAGTTTTGATTTATGGGTTTATATTTATGATAAGGTTTATGTATTTAACACAAACAGGACCTGTGGTTTTTGAAGATTTAACTCTAGCCTTTTGTTGTCATGTTTTTTCACCTGTTAGGGTTTTGATTAGATTGACATTTGAAACGCATTAAGCAAGGTATCTTTTTTTTTAAACCTGGATATCCAACCCGCTATGAAGCTAATCCTAGGGCGACCACCTGCTTTGCAGATAGCCCGGAGTCACCGCATTTGAACCTCCGTGGCCACAAGAGGATTTTTATTCATCTTTGGATTTGAACCTGTGACCTCCTGGTACTTTTGACTTTTGGAGCTAAGCTCAAACCAATCAGGCACCACCTTTACGGTTTAAACAAGGCATCTTTCACCTCGTATCATATGGATTTGTGTTCAAGATTCTGAATTAGGTTCTCTTCTTCTCTGTTTTATGGAATCTAGAAGCTGAAATGTTCAATGTTGATTACTTGGTTAACAAAAACATTCATTTCAAGTTACATTGCACCAAAAGATGAACCTTCGTTAACAACATTAGCCTAGGTTAACTCGTTTAATATAGGGTCATTTTTGTCCTTTTACATATTTCCATTAATGCCCTTGCGTGCCGGTCATGTGATGGCGTTTTGGTCATTTTACAAAAAGCATTTAAAATTTGTTTTTGTTGTTTAAAACATTTGAAAAGAAATAAAAATCTAAACCTGCTCTTCCCCCTCACCATCCCTTCGCGTGGCCACAACCTACATGTAGTTCATGATTTCAGGCTCTTGGTAGATGCGAGATTGGAGACGAGAATCAGGGTATGGGTCAACAACAACCGTAAGTGTCTTGGCCACACATTACTGGAAAAAAAGAAGCAAAATACTGGTTCTTGACGAGGCCACTGCATTAGTTGATACAACAACGGATGACATGATTCAGAAAACGCTCGAGAAACACTTCTTAGACTTTACTGTCATAACAATCACGCATTGAATCATCCACATGGTCATGGTGACATTGTTAACAACGGTTTGTCATGTGAAATCAATCTTGTAATATTAAGACTTTGTGAGTACGGATGGATTATAAAGAACGGTGTGGGGTTTGCAGTGTCGAAATCATGACTTTCAACCTCTGAAGATCCATATATATCATCCCAATGATGAAGGATTTTCAAATTCAATCGATGCTCGAGCAAAGAGAACATGTGGTTGATTCGATTTTGTTAGCGTGTAGCTAACGATTCACGTTTGATACCTACATGCTTTTATGAAACAACCATCAAGTGACGTATAATTGGTTAAAATAATTTTTTTTTGATATTTTTAGCTCGCTTTTACTGACTCGATCACCAATGCATGGCATGGGTTGGATCTTCCGGTTACTTCAACTTATTCATGAATAACAATGTATTAATGCTTCTTATAAATCCGTGAGAGCAGGTGACATCTCAAACATTTAAAGGGTTGTTTGTTTACCTCTTAATAGTTCTATTAAGAGGCAGCATCTGAATCGCTAAGATGTGAATTTTGTTTGCCAAAAAAAGGTATGTCTCTTAATAGTTGTAAACCATCTGAATGATTTTGTATATTGGGCTTCCCTTAACCATTTAGCATCCTAATTTCATTATGAATAATTACCAAACAATTATATTTCATTTTGCACTATATTATAAGAGCCTCTTAATCATTTTGATCACTTAATCATTCTGTACCAAATCATTTAGCAACTGACAAACAACCCTAAATGTTTCGTACCCCTATGTCCAAGTGGGATATATTGTTTTGGTATTTTTAATGTTTTACAAGTGAAATCAGACCCCATAAGAATTTGAAGTTTGTGAACACGTTCGATATCATATACCTTGCACATGCCATTTGTTGTGAGGCCTTACCTGCACGTTCCATAAAGGTACAAAGACCGGAATCATAAACGAAATCTCTCGAAATCAACCAAAAAAACTTAAAAGATCTCTAGAAACAGTAGAATTCGGCTAAAAGCACACCAGACGACTTTTGCGGACCTTTGATCCACATTAAAGCTGCACCTGCTCGATAAAAAATGTTGGGCCTAGGGGTATATAAAACCTGTTCCAACTTGAACAAACCAAAAAACCGAATCGAAAAACCCAATCTTGCCCGATCCTTTTAACCCGATATTACCCGATCCTCGAAACTGAAGTATACGAGCTGGTTAATAGGATCGATTAGGGTATCCATACCCCCCCCCCCCCACGAACTCGTCCGAAACCCTATCTACCCCATATATCATGTTTCCCCCCCTGATTTTCTAGTCGTGTTCGTGTAAACCTAGAGTCCTAATGTGCATGTATTGCAACATTCAAATGACGGTTGAAATTTGAATAATGAATTTGAAGCTATGCACAAGACAAAGTCCAAAAGGTAAATAGATTTAAAGATCATGTGGGACCAACCTACTTTCGTGAGATTCGTAAGACCATTTTTTTACACTTGAAACTTCATAGCAAAACGTTATAAAGGTAACCTTCACGCTATTTTTGCTGTGAAGGTTCGGCTTTTTTTTACCTTCACGACATTTTGCTGTGAAGTTTCAAGTGTAAAGAAGTGGTCTCACGGGTCTCACGAAAATAGACTGGTCTCATGTGGACCCAAAAATTTACCCATTATAGCATTGAATAACATTTTAAATTGAATTTACCCATTATATCAGGTTTCTTTGCCACCTCATCGTACACGTATGTTGTCCACATGTACAATAGTGCTGACATGACATTTCTTATGATAACATTGTACTTTCAAAATTAATTTATTATAACATCATCAATTTATATTACAACATTACACTATTAATTTTAATATTTTTATTATTTAAACATGATAAATTTAATCAAATATGTTTATTAAAAATTATAATATCATAAATCAAACATGTTTACGAAAATCACTATTTCACAAATAAAAATATTTATAAAAAAAAATGATGTCTGAATGTTTAATTTATGATATTATAATTTTTATGAATATTTTTATTCGTGAAATAGTAATCTTTTGTAAACATGTTTAATTTTTGATATTATACTTTTTAGTAAATATTTTGATTAAATTTATAATGTTTAAATGATAAAAATATTAAAATTAAAAGTACAATGTTGTAATAGAAATTAATGATGTTATAATAAATTAATTCTGAAAGTAAAATGTTATAATAAAAAAATGTCATGTCAGCACTATCGTACATTTAGACAACCTACTGGACAACAAGGTGACATGAAAACCTGATAGAATGGATAAATTTAATTTAAAAGGTTTACCCAATGATATAACAGATAAATTTTTTAAAGTAGCCCTAATATAAAAAATATTTTGATAGTACATTGCTGTAATAAGAAAAACTAAAATTACAATGCTATAATAAGAAAATTTATAAAAATAGATTGCTATTTCACACATTTTATCCTTTTTCTTAGTGGGAGGTTGATGGTAATTTTGGAAAAATTTTCAACTTAATGCATTAATACAAGTCACATTTTACCTTATCGGATTATCAAACATCTTAACATAATGAACGGTTTATCAAACGTTTACCCGGGTAAACGTTTACCAAGTCACATTTTACCTTATCGGATAAATATGATAAGAATAAAAAATCTTACTCGGTAAGAAGAAAACAATGACCAAAAATCTTACGCGGTAAGTAAGTACGACGACTCTTACCACGATAAGCACTCACCGTGTAAATTGTTACATGCGATGTCGTTTTAGTGAACTAAAATCTTACCCGATAAATAAATAGTAGTATTAAATTTTACTGGTAAACACTCTACCGCACCTAACTCTTCAATTGTAATTTTATTATTAAAGCCTATTATTACTAGTTAAAGAAAAATAAAAGTTATTGTTGTAAATTTCTAAAACTGTGCTGTTCTTGAGCCAGGAGTTGGAACATTCATTCACAAACCAGAGTGGAGATGCAATTTGAAAGGAGCCATGAATATGCAAGGTCTTCATCATCAACAACAACAATTGGTTGCTCTGCTCTCCGTCGCTCTCCCCAAAGACAACGATTCTTCATCTTCATCGCAACCTAACAATCCCTCTGAAGCTGGCGAAGACGATGCTTCTCGACTGGCAGCCATCAACTCACTTCACCGTGCAATTGTTTACCCTCATAACTCGCTTCTCGTCACTCACTCTGCCTCTTTTCTCGCACAGGGGTTTTCACAACTCATTGCAGACAAGTAACTTTCTATCTTATATATGTTTGTAGCTGGATATAGTGATTTACCATTAAACCTGTTTTTGATTGCTACTTGGATTTGTATGCGCCATATTTGATTGAAATTTTAGGTTATCAGTATTCACTATTCGGTGCATGAGGTGGGTTTTTTTCTTTATTAGTGGGTTAACAATTGTTATTATGTCCCTCCGCGAGTCAACGATATACTATGCTAAACCTAATTGCTTGCCGTCTGATATCTACCCTACTTCCATATCCATAAGGTTCAAGTATACATGTGATTGTGATCAGTGAAAGGCATGTTATAATGTATGCTTTTATGTTCGCCATGATTATAATATAATCAGAGAGCATTACCATTGATGTTGGTTCTATGATGTCTAGCAAATTGACATTCCAACAAAATACCCTCTTATTTGCTTTATTCCGAGATGAGTTATGTAGTAGTCTAAATGGATTCTCTCTTGCTTTTTTGTTTATTTTTCAATTTCAGTGAAATAGGGCTGCATGTGTTGGAAATGTTTTTCTTTGAACTTCATTTAACGATGGAAGGTATTCTTGTGGAAAGTTGGAGCTAGAAGTCCGCAATGCACGGTGTTGCAAGAGTGACAAAGAAAATATGCTTATGGTTTTATCTATGTATGTCCATAAAAGTATGGTATTAAGCACATGATCCCTAGTTAGGCCATGTAAACGTGTATTAGACAGTTGATGCATTGACATGTCACTAGCTAAGCCTTAGCATGCCACCCCTTAACATTAGTACATACATGATAGAAAGTATACTCAAAAGTCAAAACTACCATAATAAGGATGTGCAATACATTTACTTGCCTATGTAACATTGGTGTAATCGAACTCCAAATATGCAACACCATTATGATCCTGCATTGCTGCCTCTGTAACAGCAAGCTGCGCATCAGCAGGTTGCACTTATCTCTTACAATATTTCCCCATTTTTTGGGTTCCTCTCTCTTTGAACATATGCACACTCGATATATAACTAAAATTCGTAAATTGTCTACCTATGCCTATCTGAACCTTCACTCTAAACAAGCAAATTACAGATCCTGTGTGTACCCAACTATTCTGATTAAGATATCTGGCAAGAGTTGTTTTCTGGAACCAATCTTTTCAAGCGCAAGGGCAAATGGTTTCACTTATCCTTACAATGTGTAAATTCTTTTATTGGAGGGAAACATCAAATTATATATGTTAGAGAATTTGAGGAGAGCAAAGAAAACCTAACTTCAAATGATTCTAAGATAGTGTTGTAATCTTATATCTCATGACAAGGGGAAAATCATGATTATATAGTGTACATCATGGAAGACTAAAAGCAAACAGTACTGAATCATGCCTAAATAATGAGCCTAAATCATGGATGTTTCTGCCAACGCTCCTCCTTAAGTTGGAGCATAGATGTTAATTATGCCCGATTTGCCAGAAATCAGGGTCTTCAGGGGTTAGATCTGATTAAGAACTTTTGAAAAGATCTAGGTTTACACTCGAGGAGCAGATCTAGGACCATGAAGCAAAGCAGCAGCTTTGTCTTTGTTAGAGAAGTAACATGTCAGTTGATCACAGGTCAGGGAAGTGAAAATAGAATAAAAAATGTAACTTGCAATGCAGAGGAACAAATATTAAATAGAACAAGTGTTCTTTCTTTTGTCCACGAGGACAAGATTTGATAGTGTTAGAACAATGGATCCTGCAAGGAAAGAAGCGGGCATTCGCGCTACCAGACCCTTTATGAGTAAGGGGAATCGAAGGCCGGGGAAAGTTTATTGGCAACAGGGAACCCTTTCTCACCCATAGCAAGAATAATAAAGATGAGGTGATAGTAGACGGTAGTGCTAGACTGCAGCATCTAGGCCTGTAAATGGACTTTAATCAACTCGAACATGCTGATATCTGATCCGAGTTCGATTAAAAGTTCCAACATCCATATTTGACTAAAGCACTATATCTGGGAAGAAATTTTGAGCACTTCTTTATTCTGCATCTATATCCAATGTATATTTATTCTATAAAATAACAAACTTTAATATATAATATTGCATAAAGGGAATGCATTATAATGTTATAATGTTAATTATTATATATTATGTGTATATACATATATATATAGGTGGAGGTTCAAATGAGAACACCTCCATTTTACGAGAACACCCTTATCACATGTGATAATACACGTGAGAGGAACTGGTGGTGTGCGGACGATGTGTCTTGCGACTTAGGTGTTGCCAAAGGCTTCATCTGCATCTATGATTTAATATCACATGTGATGGATTATAGTATCACATCAAGAACACCTTTATCACATGTGATAACACACGGGAGGGGGCGTAGTGGTGTAAGGGCGACTTAACCTGCAACCTAGATCGCACCAAAGTTGTCCACGTCTCTGATTTAGTATCACACTTGTATCATATGTGATTGAATATAGTATCACATGTGGATTGTCTATAGTAAAAAAGTGTTCTCGTTTGAACCCTTATATATATCAGGGTTCTAAAAGGCTCACCATGGCATCATTTAGTACTGTCGATTTAGTATTGTACCATAGATTTGCTCTCTCAATGCCATCATTTAGTATTGCATATGTTTTTTCTGCAAGATCAAATATAATAATGATGTCTCCACAATTTTTGGACCAATTATGCATATTGATTAGTTTTCTAAAAGTACCCAGTAGATGCTGCAGATCTGGGTTTCACCTTGGAATGTTTTCTGATCTGATATTTTCAATAATGGTTCCCGCTACAATACAGTTTCCTATTAAGTCTTTCTATGAATGAACTTTATATTCATACTATGTTGGTCATTATTATATTTACGCTGTTTAATCTATGTAGATCATATTCTGTACGTCAAGCTGCTGCCACATCATATGGTGCCTTGTGTGCTGTCTTATGTTCACTCCCTATTGGATCAAATGGAAGGCAGAACCAAGTTATACTCGGAAATTTGGTTGATAGATTTATTGGCTGGGCATTGCCATTGTTTAGCAATGTTAATGCTGGTGACGGGACAGTGGAATATGCAGCAGAAGGTCTCCATGAGTTCCTCAGCATTGGAGATATCGGTGCTACTGAGAGATATGCATTGCCCATTCTCAAAGCATGTCAAGAACTTCTCGAGGATGAGAGAACCTCCTTAAGCTTACTGCACCGGATTTTGAGTGTTTTGACTTTGATTTCTTTGAAGTTCTTCATCTGCTTCCAGGCCCATTTTGTTGACATAGTTGATTTGCTTCTTGGATGGGCAATGATTCCCGACCTTGCTGAGCCTGATAGGAGTGTCATTATGGATAGTTTTTTGCAATTTCAGAAACATTGGGTCAACAATTTGCAGTTTTCCTTGGGATTGCTTTCAAAGTTTTTGGGGGACATGGATGTACTGCTGCAGGATGGAAGCCCTGGGACCGCACAACAGCGTCAAAGATTGCTTGCATTATTATCTTGTTTTTCTACCGTTTTGCAGTCCACAGCTTCTGGGTTGCTAGAGATAAACTTACTGGAGGAAATTAAAAACCCCCTTGGCAAGATGCTTCCTCAATTATTGGGATGTTTGTCATTGGTTGGAAGAAAATTTGGCTGGTCAAAATGGATTGTGGATTCCTGGAAGTGTTTGACTCTCTTGGCTGAAATTCTGAGTGAAAGATTTGCATCTTTCTACAGTATTGTAGTCGACATCCTGTTTCAAAGCTTGGATATGAAACAAGCCACAAAAACTTTAAATGCTGAGAAACTTACTTCTTTTCAGGTTCATGGGGTTCTCAAGACCAATCTTCAATTATTGTCACTTCAGAAGCTTGGGCTTCTATCTTCATCTGTACATAAAATATTACAGTTCGATTCACCTGTATCTCAGCTTCGTCTGCATCCAAATCACTTGGTGACCTCAAGTTCTGCTGCTACATATGTCTTCTTACTCCAGCACGGAAACAATGAAGTTGTCGAGTGTGCAATGACTTCATTAGTTGAAGAGCTAAACATGTTAAGGAGTATGCTTGGGAAAACATCATTGGAAGTAAATCAGTTTGGAAGCATTGCAGCTCCTAATATTTTTTCCAAAACTGAGCTGTTTGCACTCTTTAAGTTTGATATGAAAGTTCTCCTGAGTTGTGTCTCTTTGGGTGGTGGCAATAGTTTGATAGGCCAAGCAGAAATTGATACTTTATATGTTAATAGATCAGAGAAAATGATACATCATATTATCGAGAATCTGAATCCTTTTGAACTGCCTATTCGGGAAAATGTGGAGTTGCAAGTAAGTATTTTCAAGATGTTGAATAGGCTAAGTACAGTGGAATTTCTTAGCAAGTTCTCAATGAGGAAAAACAACAGTGGGGTTGTCCTGTTTGACAAAGGAAATGAAAAAGTTTCAGTTGCTGGTACTCTTAGGGAGGGACATTCAATTTTGATGTTGGAGCATCTCAGGAAATACACTGTGCTCCTCAAAAGAGCTCTTCATATTTCATCGCCTTTGGCATTGAAGTTAGAAGCATTACAATGGATAAATACATACTGTGAGACTGTTAAGCGTATGTATGACAGTTTAAAGTGTACAAATTATCATTCTGAGGCCGTTGGCTATCTTGAATTTTTTGGTGACATAGTGTTCTCTGTTCTTGATGCTGCATCTGATAGGGAACCAAAGGTGAGGTGTCAGGTTGTAGTGGTATTGGAAATGTTTCTGCACTCAAAACTTCTCCACTCGTCACAATTATATGCTTTTACCGAAACTATTCTTGAAAAGCTTGGAGATCCAGATGAAGATATCAAAGAATTATTTTTGAAGTTACTTTCTCATGCATTGCCTGTCACAGTACTTGTATGTGGTATGAATGACAATGGAGCAGTTACCAAATACAGGCAATTTTCCCCTCGACTTGGCAACAAGCCAATCATGCAGTGGAAGCAAATTTTTGCCCTGAAGCAACTGCCACAGCAGCTTCACTCAAAGCAGCTTGTCTCCATCTTAAGTTACATTTCACAAAGATGGAAGGTGCCTCTTTCTTCTTGGATCCAGCGGCTTGTTCATACTTGTCGCAATTCAAAGGATTTTGCTTTGGCTCAACAAGATGACATGGGAAACCTGCATGTGACTAGCTTATGGTTGGATATGAATGTGGAGGAAGATCTTCTGGAAAAAATATGTTCTGTAAATCTCCTCGCTGGAGCATGGTGGGCCATACATGAAGCAGCTAGATACTGTATTACTACACGCCTTCGAACCAATCTCGGTGGGCCCTCACAAACTTTTGCTGCTTTGGAGCGAATGCTTTTGGATGTTGCACATGTATTACAGGTTAATACTGACCAAAGTGATTCAAACCTAAATATTTTAGGTTCCTCCTACGCTCACTTGTTACCATTGCGATTATTACTTGATTTTGTTGAGTCGTTGAAGAAAAATGTGTACAATGCTTATGATGGATCAACTGTTTTACCATCTACATCTCGTCAGAGTCTTGTTTTCTTCAGAGCAAATAAAAAAGTCTGCGAGGAATGGTTTTCTCGAATATGTGAGCCAATGATGAATGCAGGGCTGGCACTGAAATGTCATGATGCTACAATTCATTACTGTAGTTTGCGTCTGCAAGAGCTCAAAAGTTCAGTGGTTTCATCTATGAAGGACAGGTCAAGGACCCAAGTGATAGAAAACCTTCATAACTTGAAGTCTAGGTTCTCTGGAGATACCTTGAGGGTTTTACGGCATATGACCTTGTCTCTGTGTAAGAATCACGAGCCAGAGGCTTTGATAGGACTACAGAAATGGGTATCAACTGCATTTTTTCCGTTATTTATGGAAGAAAACCGAAGTGTGACTGACGATGGAAGATTTGGATCCTTGTCTTGGATCACAGGACTTGTCTATCAAGCACAAGGTCAGTACGAAAAGGCTGCTGCCCACTTTACTCATTTATTACAAACTGAAGAGTCGCTTGGTTCTATGGGTTCTGAAGGTGTACAATTTGCCATAGCTCGTATAATTGAAAGTTATAGTGCAGTTTCGGATTGGAAATCACTTGAATCTTGGCTGTCAGAGTTGCAATTGCTTCGTGCTAAGCATGCTGGCAAAAGTTATTCCGGTGCTCTAACAATGGCAGGAAATGAGTTAAATGTGATTCATGCCCTGGCTCATTTTGATGATGGTGATTACAAGGCAGCATGGGCATGCCTTGACTTGACACCTAAAAGTAGCAATGAACTTGCACTAGATCCAAAAGTAGCTTTGCAAAGGAGTGAGCAGATGCTTTTACAGGCGATGCTTTTCAATATGGAGGGGAAGATGGAGATGGTTCAGCATGAACTACACAAGGCAAAGTTAATGCTGAATGAAACATTCTCGACTTTGCCACTTGACGGGTTGACAGAAGCAGCAGAACATGTTAACCAGCTGCATTGCATACTTGCGTTTGAAGAGAGTTGCAAGATTTCAGGCACTCAAGACACACAACTTTCATTGTTGTTGAGCTCGTATATTCAAGAAGTGCAGTTCCCAAGCAATCACATCATTCAAGATTGTAAGCTATGGATGAAAGTTCTCCGCATTTACCGAACAATTCATCCAACCTCCCCAGTGACTCTAAATCTCAGCTTGAATTTACTGAGTTTGGCTCGAAAACAAAGAAACCTAATGCTAGCAAATCGTCTCAATGACTATTTTAGGAAGTGTCATTTAGGTTCTTCTGAAGAAAGTTTTCATAAATCCATCTTCTCAAGTGTGCAATATGAAAGCATTCTCTTGATGCATGCTGAAAACAGGCTTGAAGAGGCATATACAGGTATATGGTCATTTCTTAGTCCTTCCATTGTTTCCTCCTCAGCTGCTGTTTCTGTTGCTGCTGCGGATGCTCTAAAGGCAAAGGCTTGCTTAAAACTTTCAAATTGGTTAAGAAGGGACCATATGGATGCCAATTTGGAGAATATTATTTTCAAAATGCGATCGGAACTTGCTGCAAGAAGTACTTCCCTTGGTGAAGAACTCAGGCACACTGATGATAATATGAACTCTAAACCAAGGATGAATCTCATTGTTGAGGAACTTGTAGGTACAGCTACTAAACTCTCTTCACGTCTTTGCCCCACTATGGGAAAGTCGTGGATCTCCTATGCTTCTTGGTGTTATGCTCAAGCTAGGGCATCCCTGCCAAGCCCAAATGATACTGCACTTCAGTCTTGCTCCTTTTCTCCAATTCTTGGATCTGAAATTCTAGCAAATAGATTCACATTAACTGAAGAAGAGCTGTTAAGAGTCAAATCTGTCGTTCTAGAGCTTCTTCAGAAAGCAAGAGATGTTAAAGATTTAACTGGTGTCCTGCAAGATGGCAACTTCATGTTTGAATCTCCTGAACAAGAGAGAGATGAAAACTATGTCCATGCGGTGGTGCAGCAAGTAGTGAGTATAATTGAAGCTGCAGCTGGAGAACCTGGAGCCGAAAGTTCTAGTTGTGAACGCCTTTCTGCTGTTGTTGCCTCACAGTTGCAAAAATTCTTTCTTTTTGCAAATATTGGTGTTGAGGGAACTGCGTTATCAGTGTTAAATGACTTGGTTGAGGTTTGGTGGTCCTTGAGAAAGAGAAGGGTATCTCTGTTTGGGCATGCAGCTCAAGCTTATATAAATTACCTGTCACATTCATCTTCCAAGCTCTGGGGTAGTCAACTGGCTGGTGCTGCTGGTGAGGAAGGCCGAAAGAATGCAAGTTATACATTGAAAGCTACACTCTATGTCTTGCATATTCTTCTTAACTACGGGGTGGAGTTAAAAGCTATCCTGGAACCTGCGCTTTCCACAGTTCCTTTGTTGCCATGGCAGGTGTGTCTACTTCTTCTATTTTTAATTTTGCAAATGAATAATTCTATTCTGACTACTATCTTTTTGAAGGAAGTGACACCTCAACTATTTGCACGGTTAAGCTCTCATCCTGAAGAAGATGTTCGGAAACAGCTTGAGGGCATTCTGGTGATGCTGGCAAAGCAATCTCCATGGTCTATAATTTATCCAACACTTGTTGATATTAACACAAGTGAAGAGGATCTTTCTGAGGAGCTTCAACATATATTGGCGTGTTTGGTAATGTGAAACCCTGTTCGTGATATATGTGTGTATATATGTGGAAGCCCTGTCCCCAGACATATCCGGTAGGGTTTCCGCACTGCTGGTTGTACCTACGGGGGCCTTGTGCATGGGGGAGAGGGATTCCACAAGCATCATCCATTGTGTGGGATTCCACAAATGCTATTTTCTCATATATGTATGCTTGCATTATTGCCCATTACTTGTAACTTTAATTACTGCTGAGCAACTGCTCAGGATTTATTCTTGGCCTTTATTCTTACTTGCTCACTACACATATTTGATGTTTTTGTCGTTACTCGTTTGTAACAATTAATATATTTTTATTGTTTGCCTGCTCTTATTGAGGAACACTGAAAGACTAAGCTTTCATACTGTACATGCAGAACAAGCAATATCCAAGATTAGTCCAGGATGTCCAGCTCATGATTAAAGAGCTAGAAAATGTAACCATTCTTTGGGAAGAATTGTGGCTCAGCACACTCCAGGATCTTCACTCAGGTAGCTTATGCCGACCAAATTGAATTTGGACAATAGGTTCTTAAGCATTAGTATAAAATAATAAAACATGTGATGCAGTTTTCTGTGTCACGTGCTTGCAACTTGTTGCTGTTCTTCCAGAATGATTGACCGAAGTTTTGCACAGGATCTCTTATGATTTCTGACATATAGAATTCATCGACATTTGACATTTTCTTGTTGCAAACATCTCAGTAGATCTTTGCTGTTTATTACTAAGCATTAGATGTGTTATAGCACTAGCCCAAATATACACACCATAAATTTATTCCTTTTGCTTTTTCTTAATCGGAGAAGGGGGAGGGGGTAGGACCCAAGATTTCTGAGGTGTTATGGCCTACATGGACTCTTCTGAGTTTTAGCTATTTAACTTTCAGATGCATGCATGTATACTTCAGGAATCCTCCGACAGCAGTTGATCTTCATTTTGTCATTTCATTATATTTTATATCCATATATTCGGCTAAACTACATGCCACAAGTTTAATCCTGAGTGCTCGTCATACTCTTGCTCTCTCTCCTATTTATTAATTATTTATCTGCACCTTTCATTCCTTACTGCACCAATATCTTGAAGTTTGAACGGCCTACTCTTTTTTAATATCTTTCTAGATGTAACCGGACGGATAAATTTGCTGAAAGAGGAGGCGTCACGTATTGCGGAGAATGTTACACTTAGTCATACCGAGAAGAACAAGATAAACGCAGCAAAATACTCTGCTATGATGGCTCCTATTGTTGTTACCTTGGAGCGTCGTTTGGCTTCTACCTCTCGGAAACCTGAAACACCTCATGAAATGTGGTTCCACGATGAGTATATGGGACAGATCAAGGCAGCCATTTCAAACTTCAAGACTCCAGCTTCTGCTGCTGCACTTGGGGACATTTGGAGACCATTTGATAGCATTGTTGCATCTCTGGCATCCTATCAAAGGAAATCATCAATATCCTTGGGAGAAGTCGCACCTCAACTGGCTCTGCTATCGTCATCTGATGTTCCAATGCCTGGTCTTGAGAAGCAAATTACTGTTTCTGAGTCTGAAGGGGATCTGACAAGTACTCTTCAGGGTATTGTCACAATTGCATCTTTCTCGGAACAATTAGTTATCTTGCCAACAAAGACGAAACCTAAGAAACTCGTTATAGTTGGCTCAGATGGTCAAACGTACCCTTATCTGTTGAAAGGCCGGGAAGACCTGCGTCTTGATGCTAGAATAATGCAACTGTTGCAAGCTATAAATGGTTTTCTACATTCGTCTGCTGCGACTGACAGTTGTCCTATTGGCATCCGGCATTATTCAGTGACACCTATTAGTGGTCGCGCTGGTCTAATTCAGTGGGTGGAAAATGTAACAAGCATTTATAGTGTCTATAAGTCTTGGCAGAACCGTGTGCAGGCTGCCCAACTTTCAGGGGTTGCTTCTGGCAATACAAAGAACTCAGTGCAGTCACACATACCTCGGCCTACTGATATGTTTTATGGTAAAATTATACCAGCACTGAAGGAGAAAGGCATAAGAAGAGTGATCTCTCGAAAAGACTGGCCGCATGATGTCAAACGAAAAGTTCTTTTGGACCTTATGCAGGAGACTCCTAAACAGCTTCTCCAGCAAGAAATTTGGTGTGCAAGTGAAGGATTCAAAGCCTTCCGCTCAAAATTGAAAAGGTTCGTCATATATCTAAAGAAGCCTTTCTCTGCTACACCATCATTCTCCTAGTGTGTTAACGCATATTTGCATGTCACCTCTAACTGCCGAGCAATCCATTGACATAATACTCGAAGATGATAAAACTTAGTGTGGTGAATGTTATGGATGACCTAAAAATTGAAAAGAAAGGAAGAAATTGTAGCAGGATGGCCTTAGTTGAGAAACCAAACATCTGAGGTGCCGGAAATCCGTTAGTCTCTTGGTTGCGCTCTCACTCACCTTTTTTTCCATACTATTCCCTTGTTGGGTGTGTGGATATATTTCATGAATGCACTTCTGTGACCCTTGATGTTTTCTCTTTTTCCTTTTTGTTTTGAAGTATAATATATATATATATATATATATATATATACGGCCAATACTCATGCACACACCTCACCTTCGATGAGATTGAAACCCTTAATGTTTTTTCCTGGCTTACTTTTTTCCTTCTTTCTCGTTGGTGTGGGTGGGGTGTTTTATCTAAATAACGTATTGCTTGCATAATGGTCTAGAATGATGTTGCACATTGTTAATAATGAATTGGAAGAGCATAAGTACTGGATTATTATGCTGTCTATCACCTTATTTTATTTGCTTTCAGGTATTCTGGAAGCGTAGCAGCCATGAGCATGGTAGGGCACATCTTGGGTCTTGGGGACAGGCATTTGGATAATATTCTTTTGGACTTCCATAGCGGGGATATTGTCCACATTGATTATAATGTGTGCTTTGACAAAGGACAAAGGTTAAAGGTTCCCGAAATTGTTCCCTTCCGCCTAACACAAACACTTGAAGCAGCTTTAGGATTAATGGGCACGGAAGGCTCCTTCAGAAAAAACTGTGAAGCAGTTCTTGGCATCTTGAAGAAGAACAAAGATGTGCTCTTGATGTTATTAGAGGTTTTTGTCTGGGATCCTCTTGTGGAGTGGACACGCGGAGATTTTCATGATGATGCGGCAATTGTCGGTGAAGAAAGAAAAGGCATGGAGCTGGCAGTTAGCTTAAGTCTATTTGCATCTCGAGTTCAAGAAATTCGTGTACCTTTGCAGGTACTGGCACTTTTTGGTTGTAATAATTTGTGTAATTTCCAGGTCGGTGGAGTGTCTATCTTCAAGTGAGAGATGTTAACTGAGATTAAGCTATAGTTTTCTCAAATCATATGCTGAAGTACTGAATTTATGTTTCCATAGATGGGGGAGGGGGGATGGAACACCTGCTAAGTTTATTCGTAGTGAATAGAAAGTCATGAGTTGGAGTCACGTAGCAGCTTCTTAGAAAATATGCAAGAGGAATGCTGTACAACAAAGACTAACCTATCCATTCCTCACAGAACTGAAGAGCCTTGGTTCACCATGGTTATCCTTCTTTGCATAAACGCTTTTGGTACATTATTGTAATTTATTTTCTCAAAATGTACAGGAACATCATGATCTCTTATTGGCTACATTACCAGCTGTTGAGTCTGCTCTTCAGGTAGGTTGAAGTTGTTACAACCTGTTTTGCAACTTGTGATTGTTTTTATTCAGAATTCGCTCACCCAAAGATGTTATTGCAGAGGTTTGCAGATGTCCTAAGTCAATACGAGGTTGTATCTGCCATCTACAATTGCACAGATCAGGAAAGATCTAACCTGATTCTGCATGAGACATCAGCTAAAGCAATTGTTGCTGAAGCAACTACTAATTCAGAGAAAACCCGTACTTCATTTGAGTTACAGGCTCGAGAATTTTCTCAAACAAAGGCTGCTGTAGCTGAGAAAGCCTTGGAGGCAACTACCTGGATTGAACAACATGGAAGGATTATTGATGCTCTAAGAAACAGTTCTATCCCAGAGATAAAATCCCACATACAGTTAACTGGTAAAGAAAAATGTTTGGCTCTTACCTCTGCTGTTCTGGTGGCAGGGGTTCCATTTACTGTTGTTCCAGAGCCTACACAAGTCCAATGTCATGATATAGATAGGGAAGTTTCTCAGCTAATTTCTGATCTGGATCATGGTGTCAGCGCTGCTGTTACAGCTCTCCAAACATATTCCTTGGCTTTACAAAGGATCCTTCCTCTAAATTACCTTACAACCAGCCCGGTGCACAGTTGGGCACAAATTCTGAAACTTTCAGTTAATACCATTTCTTCAGATGTTCTGTCGCTTACCAGAAGACAGGGTGCTGAGCTTGTTGCAAATGTGCGTGAAGATGGTTTTGAGACAGTGAAGAGCATTCATAATGATTTGTGTCTTCAAGTAGAGAAGTATGCGGAGGAGATTGAGAGAGTTGAAAAAGAGTACCAAGAACTGGTGACCTCGATTGGTGTGGAGACCGAATCCCGAGCCAAGGATCGTCTCATGGCCGCTTTCACAAAGTTCTTGCAGTCAACTGATCTTGGGAGGAGGGAGGATGGCATCCCTTTGGTAAGTTTCGGTTCAAGGCAGCAAGATAGGATCAAAGATTTTAGATTGCAAAGTGAGTTGGTCGAGAAGCATGAGAAGATTTTAACTGTAGTAAGCATGGCTGTAAGTTCTCTTTATAACGAGGTTAAGCATAGACTACTTGAGGTATTGAGTCATTCAAGTGGGGCAAGAACTACGAACAGCAGGCTGCAGTCTGATCTAGGAACTCTTCTCTGCGAGTTTGAAGAGAAAATAGAGAAATGTGTTCTTGTTGGAGGATGGGTAAATGAAATAAAGCAATCTATTGCCATGGATATGCCTCAGGTTGATGCAAATATAGATAGATCAGATGATTCTTTTGAGACAAACTGGGCTTCCATTTTCAAAACCAGCTTGCTCTCATGTAAGAGCTTGGTTGCACAAATGATTGAAAATGTTCTACCAAATGTCGTGAGATCTGTTATTTCATATGATTCAGAAATCATGGATGCATTTGGATCTCTTTCACAAATCAGGGGTTCAATTGATACAGCACTGGAACAGCTGGTTGAGGTTCAGATAGAGAGAGCATCTCTGGTAGAGTTGGAGCAGAGTTATTTTGTGAAGGTGGGCTTTATTACTGAGCAACAGTTGGCCCTTGAAGAGGCTGCTGTTAAGGGTAGGGATCATCTCTCTTGGGAGGAGGCTGAGGAGCTCGCATCTCAAGAAGAGGCTTGTAGAGCACAACTGGATGAACTCCATCAAACATGGAATCAGAAGGACATTCGAACTTCTTCTCTAATAAAGCGGGAAGGAAGTATTAGAAATGCTTTAATATCTGCCGAAAATCATTTTCAGTCTTTAATTGGTCAAGAACAAGATCGGGAACCACAATATTCAAGAAGCAAAGCACTTCTCTTGGCACTAGTCCAGCCGTTCGTTGAATTAGAATCAGTTGATAAGACGTTAGCATCATATGGCAGCAGATCATCCGATTCTTCAAGTGGAGTTTCCCAAGTTACAGATTTGATTAATTATGGTAGTGCTATACCAGCATATATTTGGAAATTCTCTGGCATACTGGAAAGCCATTTGTTTTTTATGTGGAAAGTGGCTGTTATGGATTCTTTTCTTGATTCGTGCATACGTATAGCAGCTTCGTCGAGGGATCAAAATTTGGGATTCGACCATGTTGTAAATGCTGTTAAGAAAAAGCTGTCTATCCAACTCCAGGAACATATTGGTCAATATCTAAGGGACAAAGTTGCCCCGCTTCTGGTGACTATGTTGGATACAGAAAGTGAACTTCTGAAGCAAGTGCCTGTGGCTACAAAGGACCTTGATTTGGAAGAGATGACAAGAGATATTAGTGCTGTTGAAAGAGTGAAACTAATGCTTGAAGAATACTGCAATGCACACGAAACAGTAAGAGCTGGAATGTCAGCTGCATCACTCATGAAAAGACAGGTGAAAGAACTTAAAGAGGGTCTGCATAAGACCTGCTTGGATATTGTACAGTTGGAGTGGATGCATGATGTCACCTTGAGTCCCTTGCATAATTGCAGGCTGATATGTCACAAATTTCTTTCAAGTGATGACAACACCCTTCCAGTTATTCTAAACCTTAGCAGACCTAGATTGTTGGAAACTATACGGTCTTCGGTAGCCAAAGTAGTTCGGTCAATAGAGTGCCTGCAAGCTTGTGAACAAACTTCGATTGCAGCAGAAGGACAGCTTGAGAGAGCCATGGGGTGGGCTTGTGGTGGTCCTAACTCGGGCATGACTGGTTCTACCTCAGCAAGGAACTCGGGAATTCCACCTGAATTCCATGATCATTTAGCAAAGAGACGTCAGTTGTTATGGGGTGCTCGAGAAAAGGCATCAGATATAATCAAAATATGTATGTCAATATTGGATTTTGAAACATCTAGAGATGGGGTGCTTGGGATTCCTGGAGAACATTCAAGCAGAGCAGGGGCAGATGGCAGAGCCTGGCAGCAAGCTTACTTTAATGTATTAACAAATTTGGACGCCACTTATCATTCTTTTACACGTGAGCATAATATTGTCTGTCAATCAATTTGCTAGACTACTATGCCAATCACTTCTATGTCTGACAAACTTCTGGTGCTTTTGAGTTGACCAGGTACTGAGCATGAGTGGGAGTTAGCACAAAGTAATATGGAAGCTGCTTCAAATGGTTTACTCACTGCAAGCAATGAACTGCGTGTTGCTTCTGCTAAAGCAAACTTGGCATCTGGTATGTACTTCCCATGAATGTAGTTCATCTGTATCTTGTCACTGCTCACATAATTAAGTATTATGAAAGACCAATCAAGTATTATGTTCTCTTATGCCTTAATGTAGCATAACGTTTCCGATAATTGTTTCCTTCAGGGGATTTACAAGACACCTTTGTTGCTATGAGAGACTGCGCTTATGAAGCTAGCATGGCATTGTCTGCTTTCGGAAGCATTACCAGGGGTCACACTGCTCTGACTTCTGAGTGTGGGTCCATGCTTGAAGAGGTATGAAACGGACAGAATAATTATTTTCTTAAGCACAAGTTTTGGGGTTCTAGTTTCTGATACGAAAATCTATTTATTATGTTACATGGTATATTGGAATTTCATGTCACAAATTTAGGGGCTGTTTGGTTGGTTTTCTATTAAGTTATGTATGGATAAAGTTATCTGTGTGGATTAATCTTCTGCATAGATTGGGAAGGTTTTTGTTTGGAGGGCTTTTTCATAGATTGAAGGAGCATGTTTTTTATTTGGAACGGGGAAGGTTTTGGGGAAAAACTTGGCTTTCTGCATAAAGCTCCCCCCATAAGCTTACCGAATATGTCATTTTCTATATCATTAAGCCACTACAGAACAGTCATGTGTAACTGACTGAATAAGCTGTGAGTCTCATTTAGTTCATTAAGCTGCTAACAAGCAGGCCCTTAATCTTACTAATAACCTTTTGTACTTTGTAGGTTTTGGCAATAACAGAAGGTCTACATGATGTTCACACTCTGGGAAAAGAGGCTTCTGCGTTACACTCTTCTCTTATGGGAGATCTTTTAAAGGTTTTTAACTTCTTCGTGAAGACGTCTATACAGAAACCTTCTGCAGTGTCCTTTTACTGAGATTACGAATATAATATGTTTGTCTTCAACAGGCAAATAGCATTGTACTTCCACTGGAGTCGGTGTTATCGAAGGATGTTGATGCAATGACCGAGGCTATGACCAAGGAAAGAGAGACAAAAATGGAAATATCTCCTATTCATGGACAAGCCATATACCACTCTTACCATACAAAAATTAAGGAGGCTTGTCAGGTGATTAAACCTTTGGTTCCATCACTTACATTTTCTGTGAAGGGACTCCATTCCATGCTTACAAGGTTGGCACGGACAGCAAATATCCATGCGGGAAATCTTCACAAGGTACATATGTGATGATTGTGGTATGCTGTTGCAGGGTTCGGTTCCAGTGAGAATGGAAGTTATGGTTAGAAGGGTAAGAAGGATTTTCACCCTTGGATAAATCCTAATTCAAGAGAAACACTAGATCAACACTAATGAGATACACCGGATTAATTCCATTCTAAAGCGCAATTTAGGGGTTGTTTTGGGATTAAAAGTGATCAAGGGTCCAAATCCCTTCTTACACTTCTAACTTAACTCCTATTCTCACACAATCTTTCGTCTGCTTTTGCATGCCAAATGCTTCTACATTGTTATTTTCAAGATATCTATAAGTATTCAACATCTGTGCTCTCTTCTAGGCTCTTGAAGGACTGGGCGAAAGCCAAGAAATAAGGTCACAGGACTTGAACTTATCAAGGCCAGATCTTGTTGGGGATGACACTGGATATGATAACAAAGAGAATGACATCTTCTCCAGATCGGATGGGGAATGCGATGAGGAGTTGCCTCAGATGACAGGATTCAGTTTGCAAGATAAAGGATGGATATCTCCACCAGATAGTATTTATGATGGCAGCTCAGACTCTGGTCCTACGTCAGCTGAAGCAAGTGCTGCTGATAGTTTCACTGGCTCGGAAGTAACCGAACCACATCCAGATGTACTTGATTGCAAAGAAAGCACAGACATATCTAGTTCTTCCCCAAGTGGAACTGATGCTCGAGAAAATTCTTATACGGAGGAGTTGGAATCTAGAGATAAGGATGCTAGCCAAGGGGATGGTGATCCCATGGATGATAATCTTGAAGATGTGGCATCATGTTCTGGTACTTGTGTATCAAGTTCCTCTGGAATAAATATAGGACTTTCAAATATAAAAATCGGTACCCAACGGCAAGCATCTTCCTTGGATCAAGAGGAAAGTCGTAAATCCCCTACACAAAATACAGATGCTCCAGGCCAAGTGAGCAGGGTGAAGAGTAAGTTTTAATCCCAATTACATTCCTTAAATCTTGCCAAGTTCAATGCATTTTATTTTTCTTATTATGGTCCAAGTTTGGTGGTTACTTTAAGCTCTATGCTTGAACTTGTTTTAAAGTGCATTTAGGGGCTGTTTGGTTGTTTTTCATTAAGTCCTGTATGGATAAAGCTGTGTATGTAGATTAATTTGTCTGTATAGATTGGGAAGGTTTTTGTTTGGGAGAGTTTTTCATGCATGGAAGGAGTGTGTTTTTTGATCGGGAGAGACAGAATTGGAAAGAACTCTTAGACTTTCTGCATAAAGTTCCCCCTAGAAGCTTACTGAACAAGTCATTTTCTATATCATTAAGCCACTGCCAAACAGTCACATATAGCTGACCGAATAAGTTGTGAGTCTCATTAAGCTCATTAAGCTACTAACAAACATCCCCCAACTTCATATCAAATTGATTCTTGGTGAAGCCTTCTTACTAGAAAGCAAGTCCAGGATAAAAATGGTACAAACTTATCCCTTTTACAACCTAGTCAAAATAAGATTACTTGTGACCGTAGTCACTGGTTTGAGTCATGGAAACTGCCTCTTTGCACAATGCAAAGGAAGGCTGAATGAATAAGATTACCAATGTTGCATTCTAGTCAAGAAGCTGCTGCAGCTTAGGGCGTTTGGTATGTGGGACAGGACAGAACAAAACAGAAAGTGAGAATTCTCACACACGCACACAACATGTTTTCATCTTTTTCCTTTTTTCTCCCCTGGTCAGAGATACCCTACAGTTCCTTATGTAGGGACTTTTCTTGTGGATAGCATTAAAACTTGACCTTCACTTCTAGTTTCTCACAAGCCTACTCAAGTCATTTGGGTGTTATAACCCTTGTTGGATTGTTTTCCTTTCATGGAAGTTTGGCTCCCTGTTTGCAAGTAATCTGTTTGAACTCGTCTCATTATTGCTTTTCACTACGTGGTCCACTAGGTAAAAACGCTTATGCCATGTCAGTTCTAAGGCGGGTTGAAATGAAAATAGAAGGTCGAGATATCCCCGATAACAGGTATGTGTTGTTCCTGGAACTTCACCTCGTAATTCATTACATATAAAAGAATTTTAAGACTTAATTTTTTCCCTTTCCTCAGAGATGCAAGTATCGCAGAGCAAGTCGATTATCTACTTAGGCAAGCAACGAGTGTGGATAATCTCTGCAATATGTATGAAGGTTGGACTCCGTGGATTTGAGCCTTGAAAGTGCATTCCTTGCTACCAACCACCTGACCCATATAGGCATTTGGTCAGTCTAGGGTGTTTACTTGGTGCACCTTTCTTGACCACGAGTGAGTTAGAAGGTCGTTTACATGTGCCCTAGTCCGCGTTCAGGTATACTCCAAAACACGGGCAACTGAAATCGTCAAAACGGCATGCCATTTCAAACACGGTCGGCTTTTTCCAAACATGCTACAGGCTTCCTCAGAAGACTCTTATGAGCTCATTTTTTGCAACCTTGAACATTCAGAAACTGCTGCAAGGTATTGCTCTTCTGCTAGGTGTCTTCTCAGAAACAGTGTGTCTGTCTGACTGTGTCTTGAGACAGGTATACTTTAACACCCCCCCCTCAAAGACCTACACTGGGTTTGTTTGGTTCATTCTTTTAGTTTATACCCTCATTACTGCTGCCTAATGGTTTTGCAGTCTTGGAGGCTTGAGACAAACAATCTTTCGGTTTCTTGAAAAGCAAAAGATTGTTCGGTCACGACTCACGAGGGTATTGGTAATCATACGGTGCCCACAACATCGTTGATATTGCCTGTAACATATTTGCCAGTTTCTACTGTGTAAGTGTTTTTTTTTTCTGAAGTACATAAATAGACTTGAATCTTCAGTTACAGGCCATTTGAAAATCAAGTGAACTGTTTCCTGGACAGATACTTCATACAGACCTACTGGATTAGAGTTTAGTTATAAGATCATATTTCTGATATATCTGATTAGTTTATCATATCAACTGTTGTATTTGATATTATATTGCCAATAGGTATTAAATTTCTTAAGATATAACCACAAGGGTGGTGCCTGATTGGTTTGAGCTTGACTCCAAAGATCAAAAGTACCAGGAGGTCCCAGGTTCAAATCCAAGGAGGAATAAAAATCCCATTGTGGCCACGAATGTTCAAATGTGGTGACTCCGGGCTATCTGCAAAGCAGGTGGTCGCTCTGGGATTAGTCGGCTCGCATAGCGGGTTGGATATCCAGGTTAATCAAAAGCATTTGAACCTCCGTGGGTACAAAAAGATTTTTATTCCTCTTTCGATTTGAACCTGAGACCTACGGACACTTTTGACATTTGGAGCTCAAGCTCAAACCAATCAGACACCACCTTTGTTTGTAGTTGACGGAAATTGATTGTTTATATGAATTATGATTGGATCCAATCTTTTAGAAAACCCAATGAAAATGTCTTTGTTTTTTTAATAATAATACAACTTAATGCATTTAATGGAGACCAAGACTAAATTGGAAGATATTTTGCTCCTACTTTGTTTTTGTCTCCCAAGATTTTATTTTATTCCCTTTTAAAAATATCTTCATTTCAATAATTAATATAAATATATTAAAAAAACATGTTTAAAAAAAATTATTACATGTTTTTAATAAAAGAAATTGTCTGTTTTTATATTTTTAATCTAATTTTAAAGGGTCTTTCGATATGTGTTTTGAAACGATTATCTATTATAAACAATCAGATTAAATAATTAATGGTAAATAAGTAGATATAAAATCTGAATTGCTGAATGTTTTGATGCAGAATGATTAAGTTGTCAGACTAATTAAGAGACTCTCATGATATAGTGTAAAATGAAATATATTTGGTAATTGTGTACAATGAAATTAGGGTTGCTGAATGGTTAAGGGACGTCCATGATGCAAAATCATTCAGATGGTTTTGAAACCATTAAGAAACAGATTTTTTTTTTTGCTAAATAAGATTCACCTTTAACGATTCAGAAGTTGCCTTTTAATGAAACTATTAACCGGTAAACAAACAATCCTTAAGAGAGGATGGAAGAAATGGTATTTTTTTTACAAATATATCTTTATTTATATTCCAACGGGTTGTAAATGATGGGTAGATATGTAATTTTATAAATATTTATAATTATAATTATTATTATTATTAAGTTTCATTTTCATTTTTCTTTCTTCATTTGTCTCCCACATTTGGGAGGAAAGTTTTTGAAATAAAAAATCAACATTGTTTTCCTTTTTTTTTCCTTCTTTAAAAATCTCGAGAACACGGCATTTTCTTCTTTCCCTTACTTTCCTCTCGTTTTCCTCCTTTTTCTTTGTAGAAAAAACTCGAGAACACATCGTTAAATAATCACAATCAAAATCGTTTGTATTCATTCATAATGTGAACAAAAAATACATGTATTTTTTGTTTCATAAACACGTCAAAAAAGTTCACATTGTGAATCGATTACATGCGAAACAAACACATTGTAAAACAAATATATGTTAATTATTACATTAAATACTAGTCACTGATGAAAATAAATCGTATGAAATAACACATTATGCACTGGTTTTCAAATATCCCATGATTTAACAGAGTTTTAAAAAAAAAAAGGTATCTATATAAATATTATATACTTTTAAAGCCATAAAGATACTTAATTTTATACTATATATAGTAGATAATGTATATCATGAAATTTACTTAAAATCAAACAAAAATAATTATAATTGATAACCACAAGGGTGGTGTCTGATTGGTTTGAGCTTGGGCTTTAAATATCAAAAGTTCCTAGAGGTCCCAGATTCAAATCCAAGTAGAAATAAAAATCCCTTATTGCCATGGAGGTTCAAATGCGATGACTCCGAGGTACCCGCAAAACAGGTGGTCACCATCGGATTAGTCGCCTCGCATAGCAGGTTGGATATCCAGGTTAATCAAAAAATTATTATTATTATTATTGCTATAAATTATAAAAATATATATAAATATTAATATTTGTAATTAAAAGTTTATAATAGTGATTTTTTAATCTTTTTCGCCAAAAACAAAAGTAGGGTCTATGGTAGGCAATTGGTACAACAAGCCAAAGCTCTTTCACTTGTACTATCTGCTTTACCACTTGTACTTTTTGACCACTCGTACGAACTCCAAAATTCCTGTTTTATTTATAAGTCTCGTTCGGGCTGCTTTAATGGTAGTCTTTGTATTTTCCCTTTTACGCGTAGTATGAGAAAGAAATGGACTTTGGAAGCACTCCTGATTTAATTGAGGAATAAAACGATATCAGTTGTTTTATAGATCGTTTTGCAGTGCATTTTTTCATTTGAGTTGAAATTGAAATAACTTTCTGCAGTACGGACCTATAATGATTTTAATTAATAATAATATAGGAACCTAGGGTTGGGGTTCATGTGAGATCAGTTTGTTTTCATGAGATCCATGGTACCATTCTTTTACACTTGAAACTGTATAGCAAAGCACTGTGAAGATAAAAAAAAATCCAAATATTCACAGCAAAAACACTATGAATGTAAAAAAGCTTGTCTCCAAGTCTAAGGGGACCTATATGTAATTTAGTTGTTATTTCAGGGGAGTAAAAATGAAATTACAGAAAGTGGAGGTGCGGGGAATCGAACCCCGCGCCTCTCGCATGCGAAGCGAGCGCTCTACCATATGAGCTACACCCCCTGCGCATTTTTTAATTAGAAATTCTTTATTTATTACTTATTATTTCATAAAACATAATATTAAAATTCTCTTTTAACGATAAGCAACAATTTTGGAGGTGCACAAAATTACAAATTTTAGATAATATATATCATGAGAGACAAGTCTGTTTTCGTGGACATGATTTTTAAACTTGAAATTTTATAACAAAACACTGTAAATGTAACATTCACAGTGTTTTTGATGTGAAGATTCGGTTTTTTTTACCTTCACAACATTTTATTATGAAGTTTTAAGTGTAAAAATTGTGTCTCATAAAAACAGTCTTGTTTTACGTGAACCCAACCATATATATATATATATATATAGAGAGAGAGAGAGAGAGAGAGAGAGAGAAGACGTTTCAAATACAACTTATCATATTTGTACAACCACTGCAACCTAATCAATTGAGATATTTATGAAAATAATGAGAGTTTATTTATTATGATTTGAATATTTATGGAAGATGACTAGAGATCATTAATTATGATCAATACTTTATATTAGGAAACAATATAAGCTTTTATAAAATCACATATTTATCAAATTAAATGGACGGTTGAGATTGAGTTGTATTGGTAGTATAAAAGTAAAGGGTTGCATAGTAACTCACATCTATATAATATATATATATATATATATATATATATATATATNTGTGTGTGTGTGTGTGTGTGTGTGTGTGTGTGTGTATTAATGAAAAAAGTAACCCTTCGGTTGATTTGCGAAGCAATCTGGGGTCCAGATTTTCATAAACTAGTCGCAATTAAGGGGCATAGGTATTGGTCATTCATCTATCAGATTAACCGATATTTGATTAGACTGATCATTAATCGATTACAACTTGAAAAGGGAAGATTATTTTAGGATCATGCGATTGGGCCAAGACCGTGTTCGGTTCTTAAAGAGTCGATCCTTTATAGATCCAAAACATTAGAACATATTCAAATCAATTCAGATACTACATCCTTTATGCACCTCTTATTAGCTCACTTACATCTTACTGATACCAAAACTACGATATCTGTTCTATTCACATTGCCTTTTAACAATGAATAATATTCGTAAGATTCAAACAACAAACCTTTTGATTTAAAACCCAACTTTTTCCGAGAGATGGTCATCGAGAAAGAAGCTCAATTTAAAGTTATTTTTTGGCAAACCAGTCGGTAAGATAGTTTTTTTTTTTTTTTATTTATTATTATACATAATTTTAACAAGTTACATCATTATAATCGTCTCGTCAATACATACGAAATGAGTGTAGTATTGAATATTTTTTGATTTAATTATTTTATTATTGAAAAATATTTTTAATACTTACACTTTACTTTATACTCTTGTAGTTAATTATTTAACTTATGATACGCCCTTGCCTTTTCATTTTTCGTTTTACATTCTTATCACATTAACGTACATAATCGTGTATATTAACTAAAATACGTTAAAAGATACGTTTTAATTTTAACAAGTTACACCCATTAAAATCGTATTGTCAATACATTCGAAATGAGGCCAATATTGAATATTTTTTTATTTAATTATGAGTCTGTAAAGATATAATATAATAAAGGTATAAAACATAAAATGATAAAGTAAGAAAGTAAACAAATATTTATAAGGTTATAAAGTGTAAATATTAAAGATTCCTTGCAATATCTACTTGTTTGGGTGGTCACGAAGAATGTGACATTATCCACAAGAGTTAATGTTTGAACTACTTGAGCATCAAGATTACTACTCTTGTCAAAGACCTTCCAGCCTAGTGGTAAAGGCTTGGACATGACATAGTCATGAACCCGAGTTCGAGCCCTGGGAGGGGAGTGTTGACGACATTTAAGTGGGGCCACGTTTAGCCTCCAAATTTGCCGGGGATTAGTCGGGTTTTGGCCCGGACACCCTTACAAAAAAAAAATTGCTACTCTTATGTGATTAGCAACGAGTACGTAAGAATTTACAAAGCATTGAATTTCTTCTAGAAGGGCGTCTTTGCACCTACTTGCATTTGATTGCTACGCCTGAAATTATCATTCTAACTGCTTCAAGGTTTAGTGTCATACTACATATTCTCAATATGACGTACTTACCGTTCAAGACACAACCGTCTTCATTATCTCAACACATGACAATTGCAATAGTGCATTTTAATGGTAACCATTACATAAATGTGGCATTAGCCGGAGAATACCCAATACCCACACTTATGCACCATTGGACATGCTTTCGACCTTAAGATGCAAGTACATGGATTGTCTCATATCAACATAGATTAAACGTGTAC